TTCGAGGAAACACAGAAGAGAGAGAGAGAGAGAGAGAGAAGATACGTGCTAGAATGCCGCAGCGGCAAGCGATCGATTGAATTACCCGCTCGTTTTTTCTTTTTTCTTTTTTCTTTTTTCTTTTTTCTTTTTCTGCTTTTTGGCCGCGGCGACGATTTTTCCAGGCGGCAGACGTTTCCTCTGCGCGCGAAAAACTTTATGATTGGCTTGGCGAGGAAAAAGGCAACGCGAGCGATGAATTTAAACGGCCGAATTATCGTATGATTTATGAAGCGCAGCGATCACGCCGATCTCCTTTCTGCCGTGCTTCGTCCGTTTTCCCAGAGTCGACGCGACAATTAACGCAGCTCTTAATATTTGAGCTGGCTTTATAGGGCCAGTCTTGGCAATGGCACATGTGGCAACTGTCCGTCGCGCCTGCTCCTGCCTCGCGTTATTCGCAGCGCGATTCGCCTTTCGTGGAAACGTTCAATGTAATTTCTCAGCGTGACAGCCGTATCGCGAAAATTACAGAAATTACAGAGCATTAAAGACCAGTTAAGCTTCCGAGCGGTGTTGACGGGAAAACACGCTCGCGCGAAGAATGGATTTAGCAAAGAGCTGTCGAAGCGCGCCAAGCAACGCGCACGGATAGCAACGGGAAAAGGAAAGAGCAAGAGCCGGGGCCAACAGAGCAATCGACATTTCATCAGTGTTCGAGCGTCGCAGAGTCTAACGACTGGCTGTTGCACTCTTCGGAGAATCGTTGACCTTCTCTCTCTCTCTCTCTCTCTCTCTCTCTCTCTCTCTCGTTTTTCAGGCCAGCAAAGCACGAGAGCAGCTCCCGCAGATGCGCGCACGTCGTTATAAGCACGGGGGCCTCTTGGCTTTATGGGAGATCGATGTTTTTGAGGCGACTAATCGCTCCCACGGGCGAGCGTGACTCGTGAACGCGAGGTGTCGCGCGGACGAGAGAGGGAGAGCGCCAGAGGAGAACCGGTCGAGTGCACGGCGAGCAAGCTTGCAGCCGCAGAGAGCCGCTTGACGACGACGAGTTATGTGCGCGAGAGATTTCCTATCGCAGGGAAATGTCCACGTGTCCGCGCGGCGATCCAAAGGTGCCGCGCGACGACCACGACAACTGCCGCTACCGGCTACCGACGACGCGCTCGGCTAACGTATTACTCTTCGCAGCATGCTCGCGAGCGCTGGAATTCCCCATTTCTTCAAATTAGCACTCGAACTACCAGCAGCTTGCTGAATCCGCACAAGATTTTTCCTGTCCAGCGCATTCCCGTCGAGCCACTTTTAAAACTTGGAAAGCCCAGAGAAGAAAGATTTCCAAAGATCCGGTGAGTCTCGAATGAGTGTCGTACTCCGGACACCTCCTGGGGGGGGGGGGGGGGCATCTTGTTCTTCCTCGCCGACCACCAAAAACCAAAAATATATATCAGTCATGGAAACTTCCGGCGTCATTAGTCCAATGTTTTCCGATGCGTTTCTTCGCCACGCTCTTCCTTTTCCTGAAATACTCAAGCGTGAAACCTTATCCTAAAATATTTTGAAAGCAAATTGTCCCGAGTGCTTCATCTATTACCGTACTCCAAACTTTCGAGGCAGCCAGACGGACAAAGTATTTGTCCCGACAATTTGCAGTCGCTTCCAAGTAACGAGCAAAATATTATTTCGCCTATTATTTTCAAAATAAGCGGACCGATCGTAAATCACTCGTATATTCCATGAACAAGCGTGAGGACTACCAGCAAGACAAGCAGCTGCGACAAACTGTCAACTTTTGCCTACATTTTTTCGGACAACGGAGCCCGTCGAGGGCGAGTTCCATTGTAATTAGGTTTAATCGTGCGTACGGTTAATGGTCGCAGCGCCAGCGCCGGCGCGCGGCTCCTACACAACCTGTGTAAAAGCTAACCGAATCAAGTAGCGCGCACTTTCTCCATCTTTCTACCCCCGTGGTGGCGGCGATGTGCGCACACGCACGTATACACTCTCATCCTCTACGCTCTAAATGCCGCTGGCTAAACAAACTTACGCCCACGGCTTTACCGCTTAACGAGTTTAGTGATTTTCTAATTGGGTTAGCTGCCTCTTCTGTGTGTTTCCTATCTCGAGAGAGGCATAGAGAGAGAGAGAGAGAGAGAGGAATTGAGCACATTTTTTCTGCAAAAAATTGCGTTGTCCCAACATCATACATGACGCGAACAAATAGCAACGTTTTTCGCTCGAGATAACCTGATTAGTTAGTGGTTACGACGCAAGGTATTTCTTGACCGACCAGTTGAAAAATGCAATCCAACTACGAACAATCCACCGGTTGATTTCAATTGGATCAAAGTTAAATGAAACAAATTTTTTTAATTTAAAAATAGTGCATTATCGTGTACTGTTTTTGCTCATAAGTTGCGCAAATTGAAAGGGGGAAAGTGGTGCAGCTCCTCGATAAATATAAAATAAATTATATAAAATAAATGTAAAAATATTTAATTACGATGATTAATCAACAGAAATGACAACCGTTTAGCAAAAGAACAAAATTAATGTATTTAATAAAAGCTTCAATGGGTGATATCGTAATGAATAAATTACGATATAAACGGCGGTAATTAAAAATTTGTATATTATTGATTGGTATTTCATTTGTGTCGGAAGGCTGCGGCCCTCGTCGTCCCCCAGCCTGTAACGCCACGCCTTCGCACTCTCAATCGCGATGCATGGAAAAAATTGAAATTCTTTGTAAGACATGATTTGAATATCCAAAACGAAGAATTGGAGAATATAAATTTTATCGTCGACGAAATAGCAATAAAAATTTGCATTTCCTATCGAATAAAATATAATTGAAAGAAGGAAGACATTCCGCCATCCGGTAGTATTTTATAATTTTATTTGGCCGTGAAAAGCGGGGAAGGTACAAGGTGCCAGTTATACTTTAGCGTGGCGTGTGCGTCGGACTGTAATCCCTTTTTATGCGGTCGACGCCACCGCCAGCGCCGAAGAAAATCTTGGAAAGTTTCTCTTGGTGAACTCGCGCGACTGCGACTGCGAGCTCCTCGTAATTTCCAAGTTTTGCTCCGCCGCGGGGGAAAACAATTTTCTTAAATTTTAATTAGACTTGCCGGTCGCTTAAGTGCCAGCAAATAAGAGTATCCCAAATGTGTATCACGAGTCAAATAAATATCAGCCTTAAAGAAAAGACGACTAAGCGAGCTTCTCTTTTGCGCTGCTCGCATTTTTCTCTATTTTCAAAATAGATTTAAAGTATTACGCGAGAAACTGTTATTGACTCGTGGTCCTCGGCGGCTGCTAAGACGTTGCATAATATTATGCAAATATTATTCGAGTGTCGCTATCGAGAAAAAAGCGCGCGATCTCTTTTATCTGCGTTGACTGTGTACAAAGAGGAAAACTCGACGCACTTCATTTATAGGCAAAAGGGGACCGGCCGGCCGCTAGCTCACTCTTCTCGCACCAATATTGACCCAACACCCCGACCATGCCTGCGTGCAAGAGCCTTATTGAAAATGAGACTGTTATCTTAGGCTGTGTGCGAACGCGAGGAAGAAAAGCGCCTCACTGTTACTCTCCTTTACATCTTCTATCCACTTCCTTTTCATTGCGAGGCAGACTTGCATCGCTGCCTTTCATTTCGAATATTTTATCGGTTCGTCACACGAAAAACTCGTACTGTTGTACAACTCATCTGTCACGCGCATCTGCCTGTTTTCTTATCAGCGCTATTATTTTCCGGGCGTGCCCAGAGATCTTTTAATTATTATGCCCGTTTGTTTCCATGACGGCAGCTTTTTCCTTGCGGCCAAGTGACAAATGATGCCCGATGAATGCTACCTTGAAAACCTATTCAAAACGACTCAATGGCTATTTGGTCGTCGGAAACAATAAACCTACAGAGCTTTGTTTGTCGATAAAAACACACTTGCGGTCGTTTAGTTTCGTAAACAAACAAATGTGCAATGGTTAACATTTAAAAGATGCGCCATTCTTCTTTCTTGTTGATAAAAACTGCGCGATGAACGTAATGTCAGCGAGCCGATTATTTGGAATAAATTTTAACGAACAGCCTTAGCTCGACTGACACTGTGTGAATATAAATAAAGGGATACGAATGCAAATGTGTTTAGCGCTTGCAAAGGCTCATTGTTGCGGCTGTACGCGCGCATAGACGGGGTACGAAGGCTTTTTCGACGCATTATCATACGATGCTCTCCCACCGGCGATCTTTATCCCTAATTTCCCTTTCGAGCAAAAAGTCTAAGGGCTGTGCAGCTCGACAATGGCTTATGAATATCAGCATACTAACGCGTCTGACGATTCATCAGCGAGAAACGAACGCTGCGCAGTACATATTTTGTCGAAAGTCATAACTCGTGGAAATGTTGACGAACGATAGGGCTGCATTGGAATGCCATTGATCGCACGTGCCATTGTCAATCCGTGACCGCTGCCGACTATTCAAAGAAGTGAAATGATCAGGGGCTCGTTGCTATTCGGGATTCCGGTTTTACGACGCGGACCGTAGGCCGTAAAGTGGCCTCGCGTAGGCGTACAAAGCCGGAAAATGTCGCGCTCGCGCTTCCTTCGCCCACTCGCACTTCGCCGTCTTTGCACCCTCGGCTTCAACGAGCGAGCGAGCGAGCGAGCGTCGCGCCACCGATGCCGGAGCCACCTCTCGCGCGGACCGCAAATTAGCCAATCAACCGCTTGTCTTGGCTTGCTACCACACCGACGGCCTGTCAGACGATTGTTCATTGATTTTGCAAGCGCGAAAAAGTCATTCTCGCTTCGGTAGCGGTGGTAGCCGTTGAAAAGACCACTCGGTTGAAACGTAGCTATAGAAACTTGTATGCCAAACACAGAACCACGCGCGAGCGTTCGGCGCGGCAACAATGGGACATGGCGCGCCAAACAACCGCGACAGGTTGATCGGCGTAACGATCGCGTGCAAATCCAATGTATATGTGACGATGATGTGATGTATGTGGCAGGGAAGGGACGCCTTTACCCGGCCTACAGCCTGAGCGGTAGCGAGGGCGAGGAGGCGAGCGGCAACCACGGTGCACCACCACCGAGTCATCGCTCGGCACCAGGCCGCGGCTACTCCGGGCATCCTTACGGCTCGGGCACCCACAAGCAACGTTCGCACGGCTCGCAGCAGCAACAGCATCCGCTCTATCATGTGGCCGGCAGTGGCGCGGGACTCAGCGATACGCCCACCTCCGGCAACGCCAGCGACGAGACCCTCACCGACAGCGAACTGACCAACCTAGCCAGGGACTCCACTCTTCTCGTTCATAACGGTCAGTCAACCCATTTACCTCTACGCCTATTTCGTCGGCTTCGACTCAGTTGCAGATCCGTCTCGCGTGTGCTCGCGTATATTTCTGCAACGGTTCGACCAATCGACCAATTTCAAAAGTAGAGCAAATTCACGAGATTAGCCATCCAAACTCGGAACACCGTGTGCGTGTCACGGCACATAAGCGAGTCCATCAGCACTGCCTGCCAGGTTTTTGCGCCCACGTCTCATCGCTCAAACTTATTTGCGCAACGCGTGACTGACGCGCTACGGGAAAAGCACTTGACCCTCCCGGCAGACGACGACGACGACAAGATGGCGGCCACGCGCGACGTCGATAATAAACTCGCCACCCTTGAACGAGAAAGAGGCACGCGGGATTATCTATTTCTTCGGTTCGCACAGGCGGGGGAAAAAAAACAAAACCCCGCGAAAATCTTTTTACGGAGCGCGCGAAAAAATGATCTACCGTGTATATCCATCTACGCTCGTGTGATCGATGACTCAGAAGCCAGAGTCGCTCCGAGTTGACGTCTACATTTGCGCGGCAAATGGATATGGCGCGTATCTCCCGCGCGCGACTCCTAAGTCACTCTGATTCAGCCGAAATTACTGGCGTCGATTCAACCCATTTGTGTATTTTGCTCTGGTTCGCGCATTGTATAGTCGACATGATATTAATTCCACGTGCCAGATGAGTTTCGTCGGTTTTCTACGTATAAGTGCGCGAACGAAAGTCATGATTTGTAAGAGGTTCGTGTTGTCATAGATAGCCGAGGGCTGAAATGATGTATGATTTATTTGATGCTTTATTTCAGCCGAAACGGTTGCCCTTTTTCGGTTTTACGTAGGAAACGAAGAGAAGGCAAGAAGCCATCCGCTGTCTGACCGGGCGTAAAGCAGCGTTCAAATCTATGAGTAATCTGGTCGAATATTATATTTATTGGTGCTGCGACGATTGCTGGAGGGGAAAAAGTTTGTCTTCCATTCTGACGAATAGGTTGATAGATTGCAGTCGGCAAGACTTGTTACGAGAGAGAAACTTGTCCAGGCTGCAGAATAAATCTATGAATATTAAAGTTCCGCCAGCTGAGCGTGCAGGAAAGGGCGAGGAGGCGAGAAGGCGAGAAGGCGAGAAGGCGAGAAGGCGAGAAAGGAACGAGGGAAGAAGGGCTGGCGGTGCGAAGTGCAGCTAAAAGCAAAAAGCAAAATCCTCGTGGCATATCGAGCAAGGCGAAGAAGAAAGTGCGCGATGCATTAAAGCACGAAACTCGCGGAGCAGGCAGGCGGCAAGACTTGCGGGTGGGAGGCCGTTAAACTAAAGGCGAAACAGCCGTTAAATTTATACCGCGCTTCATCACGTCCGGCGCGCGTGAAGGCAACTCGCCACACCGGCAGCCCTCAACACTCGAGCAACCGAGCAACCGAGCAACCGAGCAACTTGCAAGTCCTGCTCGGCAATAAAATTCATATCCCCGCGAGCAAAAAACGCTCCGTGTATATGCCTAGGTGCGGGCCGTGGCGGGGGCGCGAGCGAGACAAGAAAGTTCGCCGCCCGAATTAATTACGCGCCGCTTGCGTGTGTAGCTCGGCGCTCGAGTGCTGACTCGGCGTCGCCTTCTTCGGCGATACGTCATCCCCGCCGCGCCGCCCAACTGACAAGTCGGCTTTTGCATTCGCAAGGTCTGCTCCAGGCTCCTCTCCCCTTGGTCGTCGTCATTTTAATTGACCGAACGAAAATATTGACGCACATCGGCAATCGTACTGTTAACCTGAAAAGCGGCGCGCCGACGATTACTTGCACGTGACGTTGCGCATACGTAGGTGAAAAGCCGAGCTGGCAACCGACCTAGTCTCGGCTGTGCGCGAGCTCATTTTCGAGCAAACAGAACGAACGGCATCAACGAATTCGTCGCGTACGCGTGCGAGGTACACGTGTAACGGGCAATTGGGCGAGAGAGCGAATCAGCATGACAGGGCGCATTAGACTGGCGCGCGTAATAAGGGCGCCTCTTCGATCATTCGCCTACATGATGGAGCGAGAGTCTCTCTCGTGCCAGTGGCACACATTAGCATTAGCATTGATATCTCTCAACGCGCACGTACGTGTGTGCATGCACTAGCGAGTTGTGGGAAAGCACGCTAAGCGTGCCGAATTTTCTTCTCCCGCTGCCGGAAATATGATGGAGGAGCTTACGAATGTGATGGGGCCGTGATCGCCTATCCGTGTACTCCGGTCATGGTTTAGCCATGACGCGCGGTGAAGAACACGCGCTTCCGGACCCGATAATGCCGATAATAATAATAATTTTTATTCGGCCATTGTGCGTGTATCCTCCTTTTGCGCGGGCTTCATTTGGAGTTTGCCTCGCATCGACTTTCCGAACACTCGGGAAACGAGAAATATTCCGGTGAAATATCACGTCTACGAGCAGTCCGAGAAGCTAGTCAGCGTCATTGATTACACGTCAATCGGGAGACAGAAAAACAGAAAAAGGGTAGGTTTTCTTCGGCGCTATCCTCGCGCCCACCTGCCGTCAGTCATTTGGATATTCGTGCTTAATCGTCCTAATAGACAAGAGACGCCCAGCTGACGTGTCAGGTGCAGCGGCAACGTGACCTGGATCTAACGAAAAATCGAGGCTAATAGGAAACTCGGGATCGAGTGGATCGAGTCAACGGCAGATGTATATGTATAACCCCTTTGTTGTCGCGTGCTGTTGAGTGTGGATGTGACGGAGCGTAGAGCGCAGGTGAATTTTCGATTAGCGAACAAATGGATGAAAATACGAAGGGAGCCTTCGTCAAGAGAACAGTCTATATACGCGACGGGCGACGTCGATGGGTTAGCGTATTTAATTAAACTGTTACTCCGCGCATTGATTGCTAAACTTTGCCAACGAGCTGAGCGAGAGGCAAAGGATGCGCGCAAGATTATCCAAGTTCTCGCAGAGCAAGCCTCCTCTCCCCCTCTCTGATACGTGCGTCCCAGCCGTCTAGCAGCTGACTAACCAACCCAATCTACCTACCAGCCAATCTCTTCTCTTCCGCTCGCTCCTCGCTGCAGCTCCGGTATCTCTATGTATTTACGACAACTTGCTATTGCTCCCAATAACAATCCTACTTCCATAACGTGATTCTTTGCATCGTTCGAACCAAACTTCAACGTCCTCGGGTATTATAGGTATTATCTTTGCCGCGCGAGAAATTAGGAAAAGAAAAAACAAGTAGCGGAAATAGGAGACACATCGAAACGATATCTCTCGGGAAGGAAGGAAGGAAGAGACGTCGATTTCTCAAGGCGCTGAAATTTCCTTCGAGCGAATATTCGTGAAGGAGCAAGGGTGCAAGCAGACTCTCGCGCGCTCTTCTCTCTCTCATCTCGTGACATATTCACGCGGTCTAAACTGACGTATTTCCGAAAATCCGCGACTATGCCGAGAATCGAATAGCACTGCTCCTTTTCTTTAGCCCTCTTCAGAGCAGACTCGCAGAGCTGGAGGCCTTTCGCTGATGTTGCTTTTCGTTTTTCCGCTTTGCATTTTTTCCTCCGCGCCCGTCGTAGCATTTTCTTGACTTGTCCCATGGATGCCCGCGAGACACGACGAGTTTTCTTGATTAAAAATGACGCACGAGGGCTTAAAACAGTCGGCGCGATGCAATTGCAAAATTATCAATCTTTCTGTCTCACTGTTCGTATATTCAATAATTTCCATATAGACGAACGTGTAGGATACATCCGGCAGTTTATCCAAGCCGCGCAGCTTACGTATAGCGAGCCTCGTACCGTACCTGTGTGTATTGTGTGTGCGTGCGTGTGTCGATATCGGGCGGCAGTTTCATTTAAGTTAGAAATTGCTTCTTCCGTACTGCGACGATGGGCTGCAAATTGGGCGCAAAACACCTCGACGACCAGAGACAGGCGTGGGCCGCACACCTATTCACCTTTCCTCCTGTCTCTGTAGGTAACCTTTGCGTAATTCAGCTTTGTTTATCCAAGGACTCCAGAGCGAAGGTTAGATAAGAGAGTTAGCTACCTCGGTGTTGGTCGAGGACAACCCAAAGAAGAAAGCAGCTATATCGGCTATCCTCGGGCCATTCTCTTCACCGATAATGCGTTTCCTACATTCATGGATTAACTTGACCTGCGTTCGTTGATTTCGTCCAATTTTCAGGTTTAGCTTCGTGGTCCATAGATAAAGTGGCATGGACGCAGTATAGATGGAAGCCACTAAAGGTGAAAGTTGTGTGGAGCCTGCACACGCTTACCGAAGGCGATATGGTTTGTGCGAATTGAATTCGAGTGCAACAACTGTTTTCATTGTCCGTTCCACGGAAGCGCCCAACGAGAAATTCCCGGCGAAGAGTCGTCGTCGACGTGGTCGCGGCCGTCGTTGCGAAATCAAAATCTGGCCTTTGAGTCAAAGTCCTTGCTGCGGCTCTCGACTACACAAATGATTAAGCTCGAGAGTGGCGGCAGAGCAAAGCAGCAGAGAAAGAATAGCACGAAGCAAGAGAGAAAAACGAGAACGTCCGAGTGGTGGTCGCCGCGTGGAGAAAAGTCACAAAGGAGGACAAGTGGCCACGTCAAAGCAGAGCACAACGATTGAAATTGTTTTCTCGTGGCTGGAGGAGCCGCCGGCCTCGGCGCCAACGCATCTCGGCACAAATTGCATTCCGCTCTCTTTTTGAGGTTTTAGCTAAGTCGTCGCGTCGTCATCGCGCCAGCAGCGCCGGAGTTTACATTCCAGCTTTAGCAGCTCGCAGTCAAAGATAAAGGACTATCCGTCGAGGAAGGAAAAGGAAAAGAGGCAGAGAGAGAGGGTAGTTTGACGCAATTAAAGGCCATGCGATCGCGTAATCTCTTTGTCCGCTGCGGTCATCGGCCGCTGGCAGCCAGCAGCAGTAGTAGCTCGTTTACCCGAGACAAGATTTAAGAGCGCCGCGTCGAAATGTCAAGGCTGTCTATCTTGCCTCTCTCCCTCCGTAGGGAAATCAATG